CACAGCACTCTACTCAGGGGGAAAACTTGAAGCTCTGTCTCAAAAAAAAAAAAAATGAAAGTCTCATAGTAATTGGTGGAATACACACAAATAGAATTTAGAAGCTTTTCTTCTCTTTTTTTTTTTTTTTTTTTTGGAGACAGAGTCTCACTATGTCACCCTTGGAGAGTGGTGTGGCGTCACAGCTCACAACCTCTATCTAACTCTTGGGCTTAAGTGATTCTCTTGCCTCAGGCTTCCCACATAGCTGAGACTATAGGGGCCTGCCATAACACCTGGTTAGAATTTAGAAGCTTTCTAGATATTTCTGTCACTTCAGCAGAGTTCTTTGCTTCTGTAGTATATAATACATCCCCTGTCATAGGATTTCTTAATTGTAATTCAAATTATTTTTATTATAGAACTAATATGTGCCCGATTTGAAAAGTATTCTATTTTTTCTTTTTAATTGTAGTGGATTTTTTGGTTTTGGGGGTTTTTTCTATTTTTATTTTTTCAGATTACTATGAGGGTACAGATGATTCGGTTACATTGTTTGCATTTGTTAGGTAAAGTCTAAGTTGTAATTGAGCCTTTCACCTGGAAAGTGTGCCATATCCCTTACATTGTGCCCATTAGGTGAGAGCTTACCATTCCACCTCGCTCTCCCCTTTTACCCTTCCCCGCCCTCCCTCCACTTGAAATTTAATTGTGTTTTTCTCTCAATGTGGGCATGTAGTTGTTCATCTGCTGGTTTCATATTAATATTGAGTACATCAGATATTTGCTTTTCCATTCTTATGCTACTTTACTAAAGAGAATGTTCTACTCCGTCCAGGTTAATGGAGAAGATATAAAAAGTCTGTCTTTTTTATGGCTGAACAGTATTCCATGGTATACATATATCACAGTTTATTCATTCATGGGTTGATAGGCACTTGGGTTGATTCCACATTTTAGTGATTGTGAATTGAGCTATGATAAACATTCTAATGCAGATGTCCTTATAGTAACATGATTTTTTTACTACTTTTTTTCTAGGCTAGATACCTAGCAAGGGGATTTGCAGGATCAAACCAAAGGTCTATTTTTAGCTCTTTGAGGATTCTCCATACTTCTTCCCATAGAGGCTGTATTAGTTTGCAGTCCACCAATAGCATAAAAGTGTTTCCTCCTCTCCACTTCTATGCCAGCATCTGCAGCTTTGTGACTTTGTGAAGTGGGCTACTATTCTCATTGGAGTTAGATGATATCTCAAGGTGGTTTTAATTGTATTTCTCTGATATTAGGGACGATGAGCATTTTTTCATGTTTATTGGCCATTTGTCTATTTTCTTCAGAGAAGGTTCTTTTCATGTCTCTTGCCTACTGATAAATGGTATTGTTTGCTCTTTCCTTGTTGACTAGATTGAGTTCTCTATAGTTACTGGTCCTTTGTCAGATTTGTAGCCAAATTAAAGTCAAATGCTGTAATACCCCTCCTCCTTGTTTCAGCTCTTACCCTATAAATAAGTGTCTTTCTCACAGTCTAT